TTTGTACTTACCCCCTTATTTAGTACAATTTACATAACAAATCCACATTCGTACTTTTGATCATTTCCCGAGAAACATGGTTACCCCATACTACTAGTATCGTTAATCTCGCATGAACGCTTGATATCGATATTCAACATGGGCACTAGGATTAATCCGTAATTCTGGAACAGATGGAGATCAATGCTTAATCCCGAGATTCAAAATGACAAAAGTTCTGACATCTAAGCTGGAAACTTTTGAATTTTGTATCGAGATCAATGCTTAATCTCGATCTTTTTTTAATCTGCAGATTAATTTAATTAATCCCGTATGGTATCGTACCCAGTTCAGGGTTGAAGAGATCTTTAATCCGGGGTGGAATGGTATATCTTTTATAAATCCTAAAATTAAAAAAATGTGTCTACGATGGATTTTTAGATCAAGCAATCGGGATTAAAACACAAAAATTCTCAGCTCTGATTTTAGAACTCTGAAAAGGGAGTTTAAAAGCTTTCCCCTTCAAAAGTTAATAATGATTTTTTTAGTTTTGTTGCATCTCAGAAAAAAAGGTTTAAAAATGTTTCCTGTCAAATGGACTATCCTTGCACAGGCCTCTCAGAGTGAATGTCGGAGAAATAGATTTAAATTCACAAATCGTGCAGTGTCTGAAAAAGGGTTAAACTGTTTAAAATTCGTTTTTTTCTAATCTTAACAATAAATTATTTTTTATTTTGAAAAAATAAACTTCCTGAAAGTTCAACTTCCTGTATTCTTAATTCTAAGTTCATCACCAAGGAAGTGGTGAAAATGTACACTCCTGCCTTTTAAGGATTTTGAGTAATTTTACAAATTATTTCAACCGTGTACTTTCAATGAGCGCTAAGATGTGGGTTTGACCTGAGAGGATTGAATTCTTGACAGATCCCAGCTCCCCACCTTCCTCTTTCTCCTCCTCTTGAACCTGAAGGTGTGAAGAAACCTGTATATTTCTCTCTGTACTCCATATCAGTCCCTGTTAGTCATAAATTTCTCTCTTAAGTCTCTTAAGTAGTCCCTTCTTGGTCTATCGCGTCCTGTAATTCTCTATGTAGTCCTTCTTAATTTGTTGCAGTCCTTTTCATGCCTGTAGAGTCCTGTATTTCTTTCTAGCCTGAAGTAGTTCCTATATAATTCTGTAGTCTAAACAGTACATTCTAGGTATGTAGAGCTCTGTATAGATCTCTGTAGTCTAAATAGTATATTCTAGGTCTGTAGAGCACTGTATAGATCTCTGTAGTCTAAACTGTACATTCTAGGTCTGTAGAGCCCTGTATAGATCTCTGTAGTCTAAATAGTATATTCTTGTTCTGTAGAGCCCTGTATAGATCTCTGTAGTCTAAACAGTATATTCTAGGTCTGTAGAGCTCTGTATAGATCTCTGTAGTCTAAACAGTATATTCTAGGTCTGTAGAGCCCTGTATAGATCTCTGTAGTATAAACAATACATTCTAGGTATGTAGAGCTGTATAGATCTCTGTAGTCTAAACAGTATATTCTAGGTCTGTAGAGCTCTGTATAGATCTCTGTAGTCTAAACAGTATATTCTAGGTCTGTAGAGCTCTGTATAGATCTCTGTAGTATAAACAATACATTCTAGGTATGTAGAGCTCTGTATAGATCTCTGTAGTTTAAATAGTATATTCTAGGTCTGTAGAGCACTGTATAGATCTCTGTAGTCTAAACAGTACATTCTAGGTCTGTAGAGCCCTGTATAGATCTCTGTAGTCTAAATAGTATATTCTTGGTCTGTAAAAGCACTGCATAGATTTCTGTAGTCTAAACAGTACATTCTAGGTCGGTAGAGCCCTGTATAGATCTCTGTAGTCTAAATAGTATATTCTAGGTCTGTAGAGCCCTGTATAGATCTCTGTAGTCTAAACAGTATATTCTAGGTCAATAGACCCCTGCATAGATCTCTGTAGTATAAGCAGTACATTTTAGGTCTGTAGAGCCCTGTATAGATCTCTGTAGTCTAAACAGTATATTCTAGGTCTGTATAGCCCTGTATAGCTCTCTATAGTCTAAACAGTATATTTTAGGTCTGTAGAGCCCTGTATAGATCTCTGTAGTTTAAACAGTATATTCTAGGTCTGTAGAGCCCTGTATAGATCTCTGTAGTCTAAACAGTATATTCTAGGTCTGTAGAGCCCTGTATAGATCTCTGTAGTCTAAACAGTATATTCTAGGTCTGTAGAGCCCTGTATAGATCTCTGTAGTCTTAACAGTATATTCTAGGTCTGTAGAGCCCTGTATAGCTCTCTATAGTCTAAACAGTATATTCTAGGTCTGTAGAGCCCTGTATAGATCTCTGTAGTCTAAACAGTATATTCTAGGTCTGTAGATCTCTCAGTAGTACGTGGAGCGAGGTATAGCTGTTCTTTTATAGTCAATTGACCTGAAGTTGTATAAAGAAAAGCACAGTTGGTTTCTGTGTTACCAGGCCCATCTCTCCAGTTCTCCCAGCTCAATCCAACCTCATCACTCATAGACTAGACATATCCCAGACTAATATATACCATCTGCTTATATATTTATAAGGATAATGTTAATGAAAATTTTTTCTTATTCTATATTTACATTTTTGAAGCAAAAAAATTGTATAACATGTAATAATAATGATTATATCGATAAAGTTATTATTAAATTTATAATAATGCTTGCTAACCTTCCATTCTGTGCTTGAGTTGGATGTAAGACCAATCCAAGCAATTCTTCCTCCTCTAGATTTAGCTTCACAGGTTTTAAAATATTTAGTTGCGAGCTCAGTAACTTCCTGGTTATCCTTCTCATTTATAGGAACCATTATATTCCCACCTAGTAATACAGGTTTTATAATATTTATTCATAGGAACCATTATATTCCCACCTAGTAATACAGGTTTTATAATATTTAGTTTTATCCTTCTCATTCATAGGAACCATTATATTCCCACCTCGTAATACAGGTTTTATAATGTTTAGACTTATTCTTCGCATTTATAGGAACCATTATATTCCCGCCTAGTAATACAGGTTTTATAATATTAAGTCCTACCCTTCTCATTCATAGGAACCATTATATTCCCACCTCGTATTACAAGTTTTATAATATTTAGTCATATCCTTCTCTTTATAGGAACCATTATATTCCCACCTAGTAATACAGGTTTTATAATATTTAGACTTATTCTTCTCATTCATAGGAACCATTATATTCCCGCTTAGTAATACAGGTTTTATAATATTTAGTCTTATCCTTCTCATTTATAGGAACCATTATATTCCCACCTAGTAATACAGGTTTTATAATATTTAGTTGTATCCTTCTCATTCATAGGAACCATTATATTCCCACCTAGTAATACAGGTTCTATAATATTTAGTCTTATTCTTCTCATTCAATAGGAACCGTTTTATTCCAACCCAGAAATGCACAGGAATAATATTAACCTCATTTCAACCTAGCTTAAAATCTCCTAAATTTACCTCTGCAGTGGCCTTACCTAACCATAAATGTCATGACTTAATAATATCTAGAAAACTTAATGTGAAATATCCTTCTCATTAATTACCAAGTTTATTGCAAAGTTTCTGTGCTAGTTTATTAGTCCTTTTCTCCGGGAACATAAACCTGCTGGGAGGTTTCAGGATCTCACAGTACTCAAGTCCAGAACCGTTCCTATAATTAGCTTAGCATAGATATTATATTTAAAAACGGTTCAAAACGTTACAAGAATTGAGTTTCGTCACAAACTTCATGATTTTCTACTCCCAATATTTTTGCAACCAAATGTCAAACTATGAATTCTCTATGATCAAATAATGTAAGTTAAAAATATCAAAGTTTGCACAGTCAAGTTGCAAAGATATAGTAATTGGAAAATTTAAGTTTGTGACAAACGTTTAATTTTTTTCAATCATTTTCTCTACGTAAGAAATATCTAATACTCACGAAATTTCTGTAATTTTTGTTAAATTTGACATGTAATTGTGACATTTATGAATGAGAAGCGTTCCAAATTTTGTCAACTAAAATTTCCGTTTTAATAGAATATGAATAAGTTTTGCAAATCATAAAACTTTTTCTTCTGATGAACACAGAAAAATGATAGCAGAGCCATTTTCTTCCAAATTGATTAATTAATATTCCTGATCTGTAGGTTGTTAAAGGTCCAGGACGAGTGCTCCCAGCTTATGAAAGGAACTCTCGCAATATCTAAACATTAAATACTTTTCATAATATTTATTTTATATGAAAAATTTTTAGTATATTTAATATTTAATCTACCAATCAATATGTTTACTTTTTTGAGCAAATATTGGATAATATACATGGTATACAAATATACATGGTTTAGAAAATTAGAGTTCGAAACTGATAATTGAGTCTTTGCCACAAGCTTGTATTTTATAATCCCTATATAACAGCAACCTGAAGGTGTAAACTTTTGATATTTCAAACTTACATTATCTTATCTGAAAGTTAGTTTGAAATATCCAAAAGAAAAGCAAAGTTTGTGTCAAAGATTCAATTCTTTACATGGAAAAGCTAAATGGTTAATTTTCTCTTATTCTTAAATTTTTACACCAGTGTAATGTGGCTTTTATCATAACATTTTGCAGAATACTTAGTAACTACAAAGGAAACCCTGAGTTTCTAGATCCTATATCTTTGCAACATGATATAGTAGACCTTTGATATTACATTCTGTTAATCAAATTTAATTGAATAATCAAAGGTTTACACAATCAGAGCTGAAAACTTTAGAATGAGATATCCCTTATCTCGATTACTTAATCTGAGCCCGCGATTTAAAAGCTACGGCTCGAGTCTTAATTCCTTAAACGCAGCTTTAAGACCCAATCTTAGACCCAACTCTGACGACAGCTTGTGGAGCTTTTGTCACGTGATTGACAGCTGCGAGATCTTAGGCTCGACTTAATGAAAATAAAACCGACCTTGGTTGGTTTTAGTGAAGAATAGGACTCAATGTTGGGTCTTATTCTCATCAAAACCCGGAATGCGCCAATTCCAACTATGAAAATCCGCCAAATACAACATTAAACTAGTTTTATGAAGTAAATTCTGTTGAAAAATAGATGCAACTTAAATTCAAAGGCCCGAGCCGTAATTAAGGCCCAACAACAGCTTAGACCCGAGTCGTATTTTCTTGAATTTTTTAAATCGCCGGCTCTGAGTGAACAATGGACACACTTTAGATTTTCTTCTTAAACCGTTCTTTCTTGAATATAGAAGAGAAAAATCAAAACCGGTTTTTTAAAATAAGAGAGTCCCTCACGTTTCTAAACGTTAATCTTCAATGGCGCGCAAAATTTCAAATTTATAGGCTTCATATATACGCAACTTTGATTGGTTGAATTTTATACACTTTTTAGGATATAACAAGATTAGGTTAGTCTCGATATTAAGAAAGTATTCAGCTCAAGTTGAAAAATTATAAGCATTAGAAAATTTCAGCTTTTGGTAAACAAAAGTTCATAGAAAAACTGGTTCATACAAAGAGAATATCTAAATCTTACTTTCGCATCTAGTTTTAGCTTTAATCTCTTCAGCAGATAGGATTCCGTCCCAAACATTTAATCCACTAGTAATATTTTATAATTCATGATTTTTCTTATTTTTTATTATCTATGTATATAATATATTATTTTCAAACCAGATAGATATATATCCCAGTTATAGGACAGGCGGATTTGGGGAAATTCACTATTTAAATGTCGTGCTTTCAATGAATTATCAAATTATATTTTACTAGCCTTAGAGGGCGCTTCGCGCCCATCTTCTAAATTAATTGTGAACATGTTCTCTTTGTGTACATCGTAAAACAAAACAAAAATAATTCGCGGATTTTTACAAAAAAAATTTGTGGATTTTCAAAATTTTCAAAAATTAAATGAAGATCGAATTTTGATGGACACAAATATTTGAAATTTTGATCATTCATAAACCTTCCCTGTGGTCACGTGATGTCCCACAAAAAATGTGGGCTCGATCGGTTCAGCCGTTTTGACGTTTATTGGATACTAACAAACAAACAAACAGACAAGCCAAACTTATATATAGATAGATTATATAGTACATACAATTCTTTGTATATCAAAGGTACGCGTAAATCCCGATTTACAACAACGATGCCCTTGAAACCTTTAATTCTGATACTTTCTCCGTTGCTTCTTTTAAGCAAGAAAAGCATTCGCAGAGAAATCTCAAATAGAAAAAACAGAAAAAAACATGGATATTTCCTTCATACTTGATCGGACCACGCTTACTAGGTTACCACTGAAAATTTTGCCATATTTGCATGGAAGACCACTTGAAATTATCGCTAACAGTTCCTTTAAAAAGAAAGTAAATTCAGAAATAAACTGTCTTATAGTTTTTTAATCATTAGTTGTTTAAACATTTTTGAAAGGAAAAAAAAAATAATTCCAGTCAATAATATAATAAGGTTTTACAACTGTAATGCATGATAACGTAGTATTGTTTTTTTACGAAACCCTCAAATAGAACAAGAAAAGGAATTGAGTATTTTCTAATCCTTTGCAACCCAATTTTGTAGACCTTCGATATTTCAAACTATAAATTCATTAGATCGAATAATCACTGTTTGAAATATCAAAGGTTTACACAATCAGTTGCAAACATAAATCGGTGAGAATTAAATTTGAATTTAAATTTTAAAATTTCCTAATTTCTGCTGATAAACTATGAATTTTTTCAAACCCGTAGCACTCCCAGACAGGCCTAGAACTGTTTCCGGTGCACATCTTGTCCAGGCTTTGTCCAACAATCAATACATCTAAACATATGGGAATTAAACTTTTTCAAAATATACACTGTAAACATCTGAATAGGTTAAAAGTGTTTCTATAGAATGCACAACTTCAAAGTAGGAAATATATTTCAATGTTTTTCTATAAACATCATCACAAGTCGTATAGGTCAGAATTGACCAATAAATTATAAAGTAAATGAATAGGCAATTATAACAAAATTTCTGAAATAATGAAAAATTATTTATGAGAAAGGCTGGACCAGTGAAATCTATGAATTTCAGGGGGTTTCATGGGCCTCAACGGGTGCTGAGCCCCCTGGAAAGAAACAAAAATTAAGCCCCCCTGGATAAGACTACAAAGTAAGACTAAAACAATAAAAACAATATAAATTTACAAAAACAAAAACAGGTCAAATATTAAATAGCAATACACACACTGGTAGGTAACGCAAGGCAAGTTAGTTCATTTATTTCTATCAATGGCTTAGAGAGAAAGGAATTGAGTCTTTGCCACAAACGCATACCTATATCTTTGCAATCCAATTTAGTAGACCTTTGATATTTCAAGCTATGAATTCTGTTAGATGAAATAATCTTAGTTTGAAATATCAAAGGAGTACGCCCTCAGGGGGCAAAGATATAGGGATTAGAAAATATAAGTTTGTGGCAAAGACTCAATTTCTTTGGTGTCAACAAGTCAAATTAAAAAACACGTTCATGTTAAATTGAAATCTTTTATGTTTTATATCATAACTCTTTTTTTGAAGAGCTATTTAGAAGATATAAAATGCTTTTAATAAGGAAAGGAATTGAGTCTTTGCCTAAAACTTATATTTTCTAATCCCTATATCTTTGCCCCCTGAGGGCGTACCAGCAAACAGTTTTCTTAAGGAGTTTGTTTCTCTTGTCTGGTTTTTAAAAAGTCACTATACGAATAAAGTAGTTCCTTAATTAACAAAAAAATCAAAACTCACTTTTTTCCTGAGAAATATTGAGATGTGTAACATAGGCAATGCTTCCGTTGTTAAGAAAGTTTCCATTTAGAAAAATGTTATATTTCATTTCCGTACTGCTCTCATTTTCCTACGCAAACAGATACATCAGATCATAATTGATAAAAATTCAAGGGATTGTCAATGTAAGAACTACATGTCCGATTCACTAATGTACCTTTTAAACCTTTAACTGTGTGAAACTGATTGATAAACCTTATATTGAGGGTCACTTGAAGTTTATCGTTTTCACCCCAATTCAGTAATGAAATTCTTAGCAATTTAACATTTTAGAAAATATTCAATTCCGATGTACATTTTAAATTTGATTTACGATCCCGCAATTTATGTTGTTACAGATGTAGAATTAGGATACAACACTTTTACCCGATTGTGTACCTTTGCATACCTAAAAAAAATCAAAAACGTGTTTGGGGTGTAAGTAATTAAAAACTTTAAAAGTGGATCAACTGAAATTTTCTAATCCATATATTTGACGGTGTAGACTTTAACCATTTAATCTAACAAATCTAATCAAAAACGATATCGAATTCAAAAACGATATCGAATTCAAAAACATATCGAATTCAAAAACGATATCGAATTCAAAAACGATATCGAATTCAAAAACGATATCGAATTGCCAAAAAATGGATTAGAAAATCAGAGCATAAAGCAAAAACCCAGTTCAAGAGAAATTTTTATTTATTTTTATTTTAGTATTTTCAGGTGTAAACCATTTTTTAAGAATCTTCATCAATTTATCTTCAAATAATAAGATGATGAATTTTTTTATAAACATAATACCTCTATATTTGAACAAACATAGTTCCACCCGTAATCATTAAACTTGCCAAGTATCTCAGTCTTGATCAAATGATTGCGCAAAGGCATAGTCATATATGTAACGCCCACTAAATCTATAAAAAAAATATAATATTAAAGTGACTGTAAATATTATTTTCAGTGACCCAATTCCAATAAATGAGTGGGACCGATTCCAAAGTTTTCCTTTTCACCCTTTTCTGATGAATGATAAA